CCACCCTAACTCTAAGCTGATAATTTGGGCCAGAATATCATTAGGAATTCCCTTTTTCAGGGAGCTATATCCCAGAGCTTAATTCGGCTGCATTTGCACACACCCAACGGGGTAAGAGAAAGAAAAAAGGAGATCCCTTCTTCCCTCTGATGTAAAGTAAAATGAAATTACGAGGAACCAACTGAATGTCAATGTCCTCCCACAAGAAATCCCTCTGCCGCCGCTCCTTATGCTTCTTATGCGACAGAAACAAAGAGCCGGAATGTATATACAGCAGCATGTACAAATATACAGTGGCTCACAGCTTATTTCGTGCAGAGGTAAACTTGAAATTCAAACTTGTATATCTGACAAACTATAGGAGATATGAAAAAAATTTAAACGCAGTTATGTTTAGTAGGGCTTAAGCATTTATTTAAGCCCTTGATTGTTTTTCAATTCCACTAGATAACGATAAAAACTTTAAAAAACGAAAAATATTGGTTATTTTTATGTCACAGCTTATTTCGTGCAAGAAAGTTTATCTTAAATATTTCGGTTTTGCTTAAACTTACAATTTTTTTTGTCTTAACTTTATTTGATGACGTCCTCTAAAAGAGTTTTAATTAAAGAAATCAACTTTTCTGAGGACTCCTTTGGAATCTTGGACCATTCTTCCAAGGGGGCTGTTTTGAGACCATTTTTATAAGATATCGACCTCTTGCGGATGTCCAGATCCAGAATCGCCCACAAAATCTTAAGGACGATAAGGTCTGGTGACTGGGCAAGTGGATTCACCACATTAGGGCAGTTCCATATCAACCTGGTCTGCACAAGAGTCGATTTTTGCTTTGGGTCATTGTCATGGTAATGTCAGAAAATCCGCTTTGGGCCCAATATATCGGCGATCTGGAGCAAGTTATCCTTCCAAAGTTGAAGGTACATATTCTAGCCATATTTCCCTCGATAAAAACCAGGTTTTCAACATCGGTTGCCGCCATACACGCCCAAACCATGCGAGTACCACTACCATGCTTGGCTGTAGGGGATCGGTTCTTGTGGTGAAGCTCTGAATTTGATTGTTTTCAAACATATTGGTCTCGGTCCGACCTCATAAATATTGAATTTGGTCTCGTCTGTGAAAATTAATTCATTCCAGAACGAAATCGAATGAAATTATGTGATCCTTGGCCAATTTAAGCCTGCACTTCGGATTTGTATTGGTTTCGAAAGGCTTTTTCCGGGTTACTCGGCCTTTAAAGATGTGTTCCCGTTATAAACGGCGGACGGTTTCCACAGAATACTTTTGGGCCATTTCATGCCCAACATTTACTATTAGTTTTGTCGCCAAATTTTTTGAATTAACATTAATTTTCCGGATAATTCACCTTTCCTCAAGCTTAATAAAAATTTGGTTAGGAGCATTTCGGCCAATATCTGCCTCACGATTTTCCCGATTGAAGCTTGGGATGATTTACTGAACAGCACTTAGGGTAAGGTTAATTATTTAAGTAATATTTCGCCAAGTTTTTGCATTTTTAAAATGATTAAGGACCAATTCCCGCAGTTCGATAGTCGTGCGGAGCGCATTTTGTTAATTCACAGAAAACTGTATTTTCCTGTGATATGAAAAGCATCGGAGGGATAAATAAATTAGCTGATATCGCCTCCAATGAGTTACAAAAAAAATTAGCTAATTTAAAATAACAATTTACAAGTTATATGTACCCAACGTTTTTGCACGAAATAAGCTGTGACATAAAAATAACCAATATTTTTCGTTTTTTAAAGTTTTTTTCGTTATCTTGTGGAATTGAAAAATAATTAAGGGCTTAAATAAACGCTTAAGCCCTACTTAACATAACTGCGTTAAAATTTTTTTCATATCACCTATAGTTTTTCAGATATACAACTTTGAATTTCAAGTTTACCTCTGCACGAAATAAGCTGTGAGCCACTGTATATATTTTTTATGACATTGCTGACAATTTATGATGCAAATTCCTCACCCAAAAGAACTGAAGAGACTGAATGGCGATGGAACGAGCAACCTCCGACAAATTGTCGAGAAATTGCATAAAAATATATATACAAAAGGCCAAAAAAAATACAGAATATATATGTACGTGTGTGTGTGGAGAAAAAACAAATTGTTATGCTGAAATCTGTAATCTGAAGTAGTTGCGGATGCACTCGAGAGATATTTATGGGAGCAGGAGCAGCAGCAGGACAAGGAATAATAAAAAGAAAAAAACAGCACACACACTACAGGACACTCCCTGGGCAAAAGGGCAAAAGCTGAATGCAAAAATTGTTTTATTTCAGCTTTTATTATTTTTTGTTTTACGTTTCTGTTGATTCATCAGAAAATAAATTGAAATATTCTTGTTGACAAAACCAGACACAGAGGGGGGGTAGGGAGGTCGAGAGAGAACTTTTTGCTGTTTGCTGCCATTCGATGATTTATTTAATTTACTAAAACTAACACAGCATGGAAAATATTTGATAATAAAATCACGTTCACACGCTTACGGCCACAAATCAATTGATGGCACTAGAAAAAAAGATTGAACCTCCGAACCCCAAACCCAAAAGTTCATTATAAAATTCAGTTGGGTTCCCGAATTCGTGGAAAGATGAGGCCCTAGCCTTGGGGCTCTCTCAAATGTATAAAAATCAAACCAAATCCATTTGCAATTCTTTCAACTTGTGCGGTCGGTCTCTCTGTTTCCGGTTAATGCCATAGTTTTTTTTTATGCAAAAAGTCACAAGGCAAACAACAATTGGTAGCATAATATTTATGGACATTTTAAAATAAATATCAATGCAATATTTCTGTTATTTCAACGGGACAATAATAGTCCGGCAACCGCAACAAAATGTCGGGGGAAAAGAGCGTAATTAACAAAATAAAAATATGACCTTGTTTTGTGTGCAAAAAAAAATGTGATTGATTGACAAGGATATAGACTGGGCTTAAATATTAAAGAGCGAGGGGATAGGGGATGATGTTAAATAAATTTCCATAAAAATAGTTACATAGGAAACTAATTTATTAAGTTTTATTTAACGAAGGTTTAGTTAGTTTTAGGAATTAAATGTCACAAAATAACAAATTAAATATTAAATTCTTAATTAATATGAATAGTTTAAACTCTTATCTCTTTCTTGATATTCTCTGATATTTTTCAATATTTTTTCCCACACAACCGCAACCGATAAAGTTACCAATTTCAAGCCATATGACTATAATATGGTTGCATACACGGCTTTTGGCTCTTAACTGATTTCCATTTCGGGCATATACATATAATATATATGTAGTTGTATGAGCCCGAAACGTGGCTCACAATTTGTTATGAATTTTTATTGACTTGTTTGTGCGTTAAGGAAAAAAATTAATTTATCGCCTTCGTGATTGTTCAAATAAATGGCCCAAAAAAAATCCAAAATCGGTGATCGAAAAAATTGAGAGAATTTCGGGGCCCCAAGTTCCTCGTCATCCCATCATCGACATGGACATGGAAATGTCAGAGATGGAAGGAACCAAGGGAGAGGAGCCAACGTGTGCTGCCAGAATTTAAATGGACAAATTAATTGCGTTTGTCAGGGGCTGCCTGCCTGCCTGCGGACAGGTTCTGGCCATTGGCAACAAGCTCAACGCTCAAACGCCCGAACAAAGAATTAATTGGTTTTCGGACACTGGATGAAATATATTTAATTTAGGCTTAATGCCGCACAGAGATTGCATTTTAGTGTGCACGAGAGCAGTCACCTCATAGGTGTCAATTTGCCGTTGAATCATGACCGGGAATATTTATGTACATCCCCTCGCTTTATCTCTCTATCCGAGCGGGATCGTTTTAGCCATCAAATAACCATTAAACAGTAGACCATTATCCTGGCTGATGAGGGGAAAATCTCCATAAAGGATCGCGGCTGGCAGAGACCGCAGGCGATCGAGAGGATCGCCACATAAATTATCACTTGGGTCTGCGATTCAACAAAGTTGGTACGGCTACAAATGCACTTGGGGAAAATTCGTAGATATAAATATTCTGTGGTTTTAGGAGATGTTAGCTTCAGAATTATACAAGTTTTGAGGTGGTTTGAAATCTTAAAAACCTTTAAAAATCATTATAAGGGCCTTTCATTTGAAATATTCGAAAGAAAATATAATAAAATAGTTTTCTTTAAATGCATTTTTAATAAAATAAATTTACATAAATTTATATATTTTCCCCGAGTGTTGGTTTCTATTCTTTGTGCTTTGGGTTCCCTCTTTTATTCTGTTCGATCTGAGCTGACAGTTTTATTGTGTCGCCTTTTTTTTCTTGAATTAATTGAGCCGCCCCTCGGGTTCCAAATGAAGTCGTTGTGGTTGTCGCGTTTCCAGGGAATGTCGTGTGAGGACGGATGGATTCCCTGCCAGCATCGCATCATCCTATCCTCATCTCTAGAGAGACGGAACCCCCGAGGACAGGAGAAGACCACACATTGCGATAGAGACACACGCAAGTCCCCTGACGAACCCCAAAAACGTAGAAATACAAAAAGGCATTTCTTAACAAATTGCTTATTCTCTATTTATTCGGCCTGCGGGCGATCCGTTGCCAATTAATTATAATTGATTAGCGATATTAACGAAAATTATGATGATTACGATTATTCGCTGGAATTGCACCCGCAGATACGTGGATATTTTGTATTGACAAAAGATATTTCTCGGCTGAAAACTAATCGGTTTTTCTGATATGATAAACGACTTAATTGCGGCTTTCAGCGGAAGCCATGGGGGGGCAATTCAAATTATTAAATATTTGACATGTTTGGTTGGTAAATATTTTAATTGGCTTAAAGGTGAACCACACAGACATAAACAATAACAAATTTTAAAGAAGAAAATGCATTTAAAACCCATAAAGAAAAGGTCACACAACTCCTAGAAGTTTCCAAAAGTTGTTCCTTAGACCAAGGTGGCCTTTGTTTTTCCTCAGCGACTGTCAACAATTTGTGTAAAATATTTCCACCATTCACTTTTCATTTTCCGGACTAAAAATAATAATTATAATTAACTTTTTTTTAACCATGGGTCGCAATCGTTCGGATAGGGATCGTTCTCGGGGTGACCCATCGTCGCCGCGCCACCGTCCCACGCGCTCCAACACCATCTATATGCTCAAGTCCCGTTTGCAGCGCCGTCCGGGTCGTCCTCGCTCGTCCTGGGACATTCCGCCGGAGGGCTACGCCCACCTCAATCCGATCCAGTACAAGGCCATGCAGGCGAGCGGCCAGATAGCCTCGCGAATTGTGCCAGAGCAGCCCTTGGGGGAGTCTGCTGCCATAGCGATGGTCACACGGCAGGCACGTCGCCTGTATGTGGGCAACATACCCTTTGGCATCACCGAGGTGGACATGATGGACTTCTTTAACCGGCAGCTCAAGGCCCTGGGACTGAACAAGCTGAACGGGGACGGCAAGGCGGTGCTTACGTGCCAGACCAATCTGGAGAAGAACTTCGCCTTCCTCGAGTTCCGGTCGATGGACGAGGCCACCCAGGCCATCAATTTCGATGGCATCAACTTTCGCGGACAGAACCTGAAGATCCGACGGCCCCACGACTATCACCCGGTGGCCTCCGTCAGCTGCAACGAGGAGTACGACAAGCCCCTGACCACTACCACCAACGCCTATCCTCCGATTGCTGTCACTTCCCTGTCGAGTAGCAACATCTCCAGCTCTGTGCCGGATTCCCCGAACAAGATCTACATCGGGGGTCTCCCCTCGTGCCTGGAGGAGCCGCAGATCAAGGAGCTGTTGCTCTCCTTTGGCCATCTGCGGGGCTTCAATTTGATCAAGGACTCGGTGACCAATCTGAGCAAGGGCTATGCCTTCTTCGAGTACATTGACACCTCGGTCACGGACCAGGCCATCGCCGGCCTGAACGGCATGCAGCTGGGGGAGCGCAAGCTGGTGGTCCAGCGTTCGATAGCCAGTGGAAAAATCGTGGCCAATGCGCCGGTGCCTGTGCTTCAGGTGCCGGGACTGAACGCCTCCTTCCTCACCACCGGCACACCCACCGAGGTGCTCTGCCTGCTCAACATGGTCCTGCCCGAGGAGCTGCTGGACGACGAGGAGTACCAGGACATTCGCAATGACATCCAGCTGGAGTGCGCCAAGTACGGCGAGGTGCGCAGCCTCAAGATCCCGCGGCCCGTTGGCAAGTCGCACTCGCCGCAAGGTTGTGGCAAGGTCTACGTCCAGTTCGAGTGCGTGGCGGACTGCGAGAAGGCCCTGAAGGCGCTCACGGGACGCAAGTTCAGCGGACGCATCGTAATGACTGCCTACTATGATCCCGAGAAGTACCAGGCCGATCAATTGCAATAAATAATGAATAATAATCGCACATATACACTCTCTTCTTAGCTGCGACCTTGGACTTTAAGGCCAACTTAATCCCTGGCAAAAGGCAGCATCTCCTCCTCATCCTTCGTTCTCGTCATTGTTTTATCTCTGTTGTGATATCATCTGCTTAATGCCAAAGAAATCGCTTTAAGTTATCTGGAGCTGGGATGCCGGGACACGCCCTTCCACCGAAAAGGGTCCCCGGTATTCAATTAGGCAAACCGACTTAAGCTGCAATCCTTAAAGCTGCTCAAAAGCTGACACCTCCTTCAGCAGGTCCATGTGCTGCTCCTCCTCCTTTTCATCCCTGGGATTGGGCTTGGGATTCCTTCAGCTTCTCCTCTCTTTATTTTTTTTTTGCTTAATTAAAATTTTAAACTTTACGCTTTATCGCCGGCATTTCTCGAGCATATTCACACCTTCTGGGCTACCTTCTTTCTGCCTTCTGCTTATTGTGGAGCTGGGCCCCCGGGTAATGCCTTAATGCCCTTTCAATGGAGCAAGCTTCTTCGACTTCTACAGCTTCTCCAGCCTCTTATCTCGCCGAACGACGAACGGTTGCATTTTCTCAGGTTTCACATCTCCCGAGAAGGAGGAGAGCATCCGCTTTGGGTACTTTCTTATCTCGGGATTTTGGTCATTCGCTCGACAGCCGATCATCAATACTCGAACGCTTAATGAAATGCTTGATGCACTGTCAGAAAAGAGGGGTATTTTGAGACTATGTTTGCAGAGTTTTAAACCAATATTTTACGATTGATAAGGTGCTTCTTTTCATCAATACAAACCTTGCTTAAAATTCTCATAAAATATCTTAAGTATATATTTTTTTTTTCTAAGTGCATCCATAAGAGCGTTGAAAGCCCAACACGAACTCAGGCTGAACGATTTATCAGTGGCAGCGACGGCCACGAACTAAACGCTTTATCGAAGCTGTGGAGATTGTGTGTCTGTGCCAGGAGAACCAAGCAGAACCCGAGTAGAGTGGACGGACGTCTGTGTGTGGACACAAATTAATTCAACGCCTTGGATTTTTGTCATTTGCCGGAGAGAGGAGTATTTACTTGGGTGTATCCATCGATCTGAAGGCCAGCTCTTTCATTCCCTTTGCTGCTCCCCAAAAATGAAGAAACAGAAACGGACTTCTTTCGAAGCCGCTGCTGCGCCGCTGTCCCATGAAAATCAATGCCTCGATGGGTAATTAATAAACGCCCATAAAGATGCGGATACAATAAAAATTCCAAGCCTGGCTCGAAAAAAAGGGTTCCCCTTTGATATTGTGGCTACGTTGATTTTATGATCTGGCAGCTGCGCGCTTTGGGGATTAACTGGATTGACTTCTAATCTCTCCTGCCCCCCGAATCTTGTCAAGCGACTCGGCGACCGTGTCCCAGGTTAGGGTCTTTTGGGATGTTAGGTAATCGGTGGAAATGAAGCAATCAAAGCCACAGTTGAGTGAACCCTCCATCGGGTTTCTATGCATCTTTAATTGCATTCTCATCTCGTTTCATTTGAATATGATGTAGTAGATAATTATTGGGCTCCTGCCAGAGCAACGCCTCCTTGGGTCCCGAGGGAAACTATTGTTAAACGATGGCCCCTCTCTTAGCTCCTAGATGATAGCTCCAGCAGCTTGTTCCTCTTCTGTTTTTTATCGCAGCCACCGCTTGATTTGTGTATCTTGTGTTATCCAGCTTAATTAGTTCGAAGAGTCTCTGTGAGGTGTTCTCCTAATGATAGTTTAGGGGGGCGAGCACTGCATAAATTTGCCAAAGATACCGAGATATCTTTATCAGTTGAGAGGTTCCAATAAAAATTTGTTCCCTCTAATGATCAAGATAGGCATCGTTGCCCCCTCGCATGCGTGTGTTCAATTTGTTGAGATTTAATTAAGATAATTCCAAAGAGGGAGCCACATTTAATGAAGTAGCCTGCAAAATCGCCAGTTAATCTTTTGAATATTTAAAAATCAAAAATTAAGCAATCAGAAACCAGAAAAAGAAGAGTAAAGTTCACAAAGTTCTACCCTTTCGAATTCAATTAACCAGAACCTGTTGCTTTGTTTGGTCTCTTAACCCTGCATTTCAATTCACATTTCCGGGGACTCCCGAATAAAATAAAAATAAACATACAAAAAAAAGTATAAAGAGACGATGCCAACACAACAAAACATGCAAAATAAAATCAAATAAACAAATATTGTTGTGCAGTTCAAGCGAATTTGTAATTTCCCCCCTCATAGTCAACAACAAAAGGCTAAAAAACAAATTACCAGCGAGAATAATTTCACCGAAAATTTCTGCTTTAGGGGGTTGCTTGGATCTCGGCGGATATCGTGGGTGGGTGGTGGTGGTGGTGGTCCCATTCCCATTCCCACACCACCCATTCCCGGCTGTCATTGCCATTCCTGGCTGCCACTCCCCCTCCATGTTCCACGTCGCTTCGTTAATGGCAGCGCAATTAATTCGAGCAAATCGTCTGTGAACCCTTTTTATGACCTCTAAGAGCCCCGGTTCACACTGCTCAGCCCTGCGTCTCCTTTTCTCAGATAAAAATTCATTAAACGACATCATTGGAGAGCTTTGTTTCGCTTTGAACTGTTTGCCGGGCGATAATAAATGCGGAATAGGAACGCGAATGCCGAAAAAACAAACCGAGTGCTCTTTAAATGCTTTTGTAGAGGTTTTTGTTCTCCTTTTTTTTGTTGGTTGAAATTCGTTTGGGTTTTTTATTTGCCTAAACTGTTGAATGAGCTACAAACGTAGTGGAAGTAAAGGAAATCCTGTATTTGGGAGATTCTAAATAAAGAAGGGTTTATTTTGGTAGAGTTTCTGAGTTGGTTACAATATTTTTTAGATATTTTCTTTGATATTTTAAACAAAAATAGTGTAGTAGGGATTTTCTTTAGATTTTAGAGGGATATTAAGCAGTGTTTTTAGAGGTTTCTGAGTTAGTTACAATCAGGTTATCCTAGACTAAAAGTAAAAGAGCGAGTATAAGTAGAAGTAGACACATTTTCTATAGATTTAAGTGGGATTTCTATATATGTTCTCAATGCTCATGCATTTTCCTTGCTAAATAAATTCCATTTTGGTTATTTTCTTTGTTTTTATCCCATAAACTGCTCTTAGTATAATAAATCTTTCCCGCTCAAGATTCTCCTGAACTAGTTCCCCTTCAACAAACACCATTAGCTGGCTATTCAAGTCGCCGGAGAGCACATTGTTACACGATTATTCCGCTGATCTATTACGCGGCTCAAGCACCATTTGTCTCGCTGAACTCTTTTTACACAATTCCAGAATCCGAAATCAGAAACCCGAGAATAACCGAGTTCGAAGAACCCATTTGGTGGACACCCTACAGCGCCGAAAAAGTGAGAAAAACAAAGGGAAAAGCGGTGCCTGCCACTGAATGGGTTTTTCCAGGGACCAACGCGAAATAACCGGCGAGCCGAGAGAGAACGCCTTTAATGAGGGTCATAAAATCAAGCGCCAGTCCAGGCCCAGGCAGGTCCTCAAAAAAAGAAATAAAGAAAAAAAGAGCAGAGACACAGACAGGGATAAACCTAAACTAAAGCAACCTGAGACGGTGTAACAGGTGAGCAGATAGCAATGAAATTATAATGCAGATTATGTGAGCTGAGGTAGCCAAGAGCGTTGCCTAAAAAGGACACCTAAGTGACCGAAAAAAAGCTGACGATTTAAAGGAAGCAAACCATTTCGTACCACTTAACCGTTTTCCTTCGGCTTTGATATTTTGCCGCAAAAACCCCTGAACCTTTTAAATCGTTTGTTTGGGAATTACTGGCACAGTCTGATGCTCATTCTGCTCTGTGTTGTCGTTTTCCCAAATGCAAATGCGTGTCAACTTTGACCCCCAGTGAGGCCGAAACGCATAATCCAGGAGAACGGAGCAGCGCTGAGGCAGCGAGACAATGGAAAACACATTTTAAGCTGCTCGAAATGCTCGAAATACTCGACTCTTGTCCCGCTCTGGCATAATCCAAACTAAATGTCCGACTTAATTTTGTTGTTCAAACTGTCCTGTTTCGGGGATTCGCTTTTGGCTGCACTTAGGGAAATTTTTGGATGGATTTTATAACACAGAAAAGAATGTAATGAATGCATTTTTAGCTTATGAACTCTTTCAAATGAGGCCTTCGATCGAATTGTAACCTGAAGGGGAATTTCTCTACTTTCTAACTTTCTATTGTACTAAGTTTATGCATATCCATTGATGGCCTTTATATCACAACTACACTCGATTTGCCATTATGGTAATTGATATTGTTTTAACCTTTTGCACTTGGTCGCTTCAATACACCAATCATTTCCTTTTAATAAGATACTTATCGTGTGTCAACACAAACACAACATCGCCCTGCATATTTTCCTCTATCCTCATACATATATAGAGCAAAGTTTATTTCCCATTTCCCCCCCTGGCACCTGTCATTTCCTTGATGACCAACACAACTGCTGGGAATGCGTGGATTTCACTTTGAGGGTATTTATTTATATATATATAAGTGCAGATTACATATGTATGTACCTGTAGCCATACTGCCCGTGTCCATGTCAGCACAGTTCACTGGTTCACTGACCTTTGGCCGGGGGTCTATTCAGGGCTTCCTTGGCCCTCCTTTTTTTTTTTATTTATTTCTTTTTTTTTGCCGTGTAATGCTGCTCAGGAACTTGGGAGATCCCACGCCCACTGATGAATGCTGCTGCTCTAGAGGAGAGGCGAGTCTCTCATCTTCATTATTCTGCCGGCTAGCATTTGTCCTAGCGTTTGTGTGGATGCAATAGCTGGTGCAGTGCCACGCCCCCCTGCGCCTGTCAGCATCCCAGCATCCCGGCATCACGGGCACAATTCAACTTCAACTTTTGATACTCATCTGAATTTGCATTATTTTCTTTTGCCGCTGTTTACGTTGATTCTGATTTTAATCTTTCAACTGCGCTGTGGAGCCCTACTGCTCTTCTCTTTGCTTTGCTTTTCTTTATATAGTTTGAAATATTTTTTGCCTCGTCCGATTTACAGTTGATATGTACCTGTCCGGGTCCCTAGATGGAGATGGTTTCGTGACACGCATAGTGTTGGGATGTCACAAGAAACACGAAGGATACGAAAGTATCTTGAAGATACTTAAGTTGTGGGATTCTAAGAGGTATCTGTAGGTATTGAGATTTCATTATTAAGGCTGTAAACTTTACTGATTCTTATTTATTTTTTGTAATGCATTTTTAATAGTCGAAAAGCTTGAATAAAACAAAAAATTCCCATAAAACTACCTTCAATTTGTTATATAAATATATATTTAAAAGAATCTCCGACCCATTAGGACTCCCATCCCTGTGTCCAGCTGAACAGGTTTCACTTCTTTTGTTTTGTCGCGACTCCTCTGCAGTTTTCAACGCACCTTGCTCCGCCTTTTTTCTCATTTTTCCTGCTCTTTCACTGCAGTCATTCATTCCCTTGGAATCAAAAGACGGAGTTGGAGCAGAGAAAAGTATCCTAATTGGTATTAAAATTGATGTTATTTTATTTTACTTTATTTTTGTTGAGCTGTTTACCAGCCATTCCCGGGCATTGTATTTCGATGCCTTCTTGAAAGCTAGAATGGCACCGCATTTGTCTGCCTTTTTATTCAAATTGCATTTCAAAAACAAAAGGTGGATTGGGAATCGAGAGTCGAAGTAACTCGAGAAAAATCGTACCACTTTGGGCAAAACGCATTTTTCAGATTGCATCGATCGATGATATTCGAGATTAAAATCGAAAAATAAACAGAGAAAGGCTTCTGTTCTCGGCGTCCCTTCAGATTCAACTGTCCGATATTTTTATATGGATAACCTTTGCATTCTCTCGTTTTTCTTTTTCCCTGTTTTTATCATTTAATTTCTTGTTTTTTGTTACCTGAATTTTATCTGTTGCTTGGCGCTCGGATTTAATGGGGAATTATGGGGGGGAAGGGAGAAAAAAGGAAAACTCTCTGTGGGATTAAATTTAAATGTGGCCACTTACACGTAATTAAGTTCGTTGCACTGTATTTAAACATACATTGCTGCTGCCGTTGCCTGGCGATATGCAAAATAATTAAGCTGCCAATAAAATTGCATTAAAGGTGCCAAGAATTCGCACTGAGGATAATTATGGAAAGCGGCTTAAATTCCTTTAAAGTGTGGAAAAGTGGAAAAGTTAATGGCGTAGGTCAGTTCCAATAAGGTTTTTCAGATAACATGGCTCCGAAAACTGTTTCATGATGGGTTCCATTTCCCCTTGTTACTCCGAAAGATGAAGTTGGGACTTATGTTAAGAGGCTACAGAAGATGTTTACTTTACAACTAATATAATATAATTAAAAAAATAAAACAGTTTGCTTTAAACTTTCAATAATGTTTGTGTGTATATTGTTTTTCTAATATTTAAAGTATTATAATTTATCTTTAAACCGAAGATTTCCCCTTCCTGTTAACCCTAACAGCTCAATGGCTTCCACAAACTTATTTCGGAAACCTTCTGTTATTCTCCCATCTTAACATAATTTTGAATTGAGAGATTTGTTTTCCAACTGAGAGTTTTGTGGAGTGTGTGTGGAACTCTTTTAAAATGTATGTCATTTTTGAGGAAATGTAAGCCACAACTCTTAGGTGCTTTATTTGTTGCCATGAAATGTTAATGTACAATTTATTAAACAATAAAATAATAAATTTCCAGAGAATAATATAGAATGAAAATTAACAAGACAAATTATAATAGTCAAAAAATGATTTTATTTAATAGTTCATTTTCTTAGTTTTTAATATTTATGATAAACTTATTTTTTACAAAGAGAAATTTAGGATTAAAAACTTGTTATTTTTTACGTTTTAATAATGGCAGAAAATTATTTTTTGACACATTGAAATTATAAAAAAATTATTCAAAAAATAATTTAAATATATTTGTTTACATTGTTGTAACATAAAATCATCTTGTTGCCAACATAAGCAATCGTTCCACATGCCACACAGTGCTCTCTGACAAGGCGACTAATGAAAGGATAACGAGACTCTAGTTCTCAATCAAGAGAGTAGATGAAAGAATTCTCCACCTCCAGAGAGAACATTTCTCTCGAGGGCTGAGAGTTTTACGTTCCACAGCTCCCAATGTTACGCTTAACATTGATGTTTAACATTGGTGTAGCGCCTTGTTCAAAAACCTGAAATGCTTTTGCAGCTCTAGTAATGTTGCCGGGAATTTCGAACGCTGTGGTTGTCGGAAAAGCGGGCGCGCGTGTCGAGTTGCTTTCACAATAAATAAAATTGTTCGTTCGGTGCGTGTGGCGTGCGCCGTTGTTTAAGTGGAAAAATAAGCAAAGATCCCATAAATATCCCAAAAAAAAAATTCCAAAAAATATATTTAAACAAAAAAGTGATGAAAGCAGAGAAAGATAAAGTTATGAGATAGATCCTTCGTTCGTTCGTGCTTCGTTCAGTCGTCGCGAGTTGAGGCCACTTCGTGTGAGAAACTCTAAACGAAAAATTAAGCTTTTATGACAGCCTAAAAAAAATCTAGAAAAATTATAACCAAAATTCTAGATAAAATTTACAAAGTCAAGAAATTCAAAAAATTTAATCACTCTGTGAAATGTTGCTGCTGCAACGGCCACAGTTCTTTGTGGCTCAGTGTTGTCCCTGTGTTGTTGCCCATAAAATAAGCCACTGACTCCGAGCCCAGGATGCGGAATGATGCCCCACGGATTACACAAAAGGATTAAATAACAAAGTAATTTGCATATCTAGAAAATAAATTCAGAATCATGACAACGAACTAGGCATTAAATTATGCATGAATATTAACCTGAACCCCCCAAGGATCTGCTGCTCGTCCAGCGGATGTCCGTTCATGTCCATGTTGCGACTCAATGAAATTTTTAATTGTGCACGCGTGTCCCCCAACCCCCTTTCCCCTGCTGGGTCTGGGGCTTCGTGCCCTGCTGGCCCCGCCTCCCAGGGGTACACCTTATGTATAGTTTCATGTTTCCCGCATATTTGTCATGGTGCCAATCTCAGGGGGCAAGGATTCGAGGGTATCCCCCCCCCCAAGGAACTGGAATAAAAGTGCACCTCTCTTGGGGTAAAGTTATGCAAGCTCCTCGAAGAATATTCTACGACTTTTGAGGGGTTTTTAGGAAAAAGATATAAGAGAAAAGTGTTGCAGAACTTTTAACCTAGTTAGGGGGAAGGAAATCCAAGACATTGGAAATGTAATGAAAGTGTGAAATATATAGAAAAACCTTGCAGAAATTAAAGTATTCCAAATGAAAGTTAAACCAGAGTGATATTTAAATAAAGTTTAAATATATACAAAAGCCACAAAATAGTAAATTTATTTTAATTTTGAATAATACGAAAGAGAAACTTTATTTGCTTTAAAATAATTCATAACTTTGCCTCATTTGCATAACATTTTAATAGTCTAAGGTTCCTCTACCCTTTTAATTCCCAAAATATACCAACTAATCCCATTTAGAACTCCCCCAACAAAGTAGAAAAAAAACGTATTCACTCAACTATAAAAACTCAAATCCTTTGTAGATTAACTCCCCCCACAAACTGGTGATTTTTGCCGGTCTTTCGCTTGGCTAACATTATTAACCAGCAAGTGGAATTTTCAGCTTCCGTTCCGCCCTTAAGCTCTCCTCCCTCTTGCTCTCGGCCAAATCTCAACTTATTTTCAATTATCATGTCATCTCATGGGGCAAGGGAGAAGTCGCCGCCAACCCCATCCACTTTTCCGTCTTTCAACCCCCTTTAGCCAGTGCTGCACTTGAACTCCATGTTGGTAATTCGGAAAAGTAGCTCGACCTTCGCAGGACCAGAAGGAAATTTACTATCGCCACCAATGCCAATTGAAGCACTTGTCCACGCTCCCTGACTTCCGTCTAGAGCCGCCCCCTTCATCCCAGGTTTTCCTTGTCCTGCCCCTGTTTCATTTCCCGTCCTCCGTCCCCACTTTCTCTCTCTTTCTCCTTCACTCGTTATGTGTTTTTTGCGGTCAGTTGAGGCCGCGTGCCGAGTTTCCATTGTATGTGAGATTTTCGTGTTTTCATTTTTTGTTTTCTAGGGTATTTCTAGGGGTTAGAAGAGGGTGTATTATTCGGGGGAAAAAAATATTAGGTTTGGGGTGATGTTGTATAAGCTAGAAGCAAGAGTGAGTTGTAAAGTCCTTAAAAAAATGGAAATATGTTACATTGACACGGATTTAGAGCTTTTAGAGGGGGAATAATTAAGAAACATTACTAGACTGGACATTTTTACTAGTTCTATTCATATTATTATAATATATTAGCTTTATAAAAAGTGAACTATGTTGTGATCATATTGGTCTTGACCTTAAAATTCCACAGATAACTATTATATCTCACAAACTAATAAAATAAAAGAAAAAACTAAAGAACTACAGCATTAAAAATAGTTAAAAACCGTCACATACCAAAATTGGCATAAATCTATCGTGGGGTTTATGATATATTAAGTTTACCAGGTAACTCAAAGTCGTAGAACTTTTTCCCTTGTTCTTTTCCTGTTTGAAAAGGACATATAGTGGCCGCGATTCCTGCGTGTTTGTGTGTGTGAGTAAGTCAAAGACCAACAGCAAATAAAAAAAAAAAACCAGAGCAAAGAGCAAAAGGAGCAGGAGAAAGCGGAGGAGGAAGGTGAAGGAGCAAAGGACGCCACCAAAAGTTGACCTCGCGTCGCCTGCAGCGTTAATTTATAATTTACTCTCGGCTCACTGAAATCGCCTAGCACCCCCCTGCACAGGAGGGGGACTCCCCCCGCTCCCGTTTTATTATTATTATTATTTCTGTGCGTTTCCACGCGCTTTTCCTTGCCCAGCAGAACCACAGGAGAAAAAAAGGTCCCTCTACCGAGGCTCTTTTTTGACTTTTTTACATTTGCCGACGGGTCTGAATGTTGCTTCTCCCCTCTATTTGTTGTAGTTGTTGTTGTTGTATTTTCCTGTTCATGTTGTTGTTGCGGTGTCCCTTGAATATACTCGCAAACAAGGAGAAAAAAAAAAAAAAGCGGGGAAGGAGTGATTCGAATTTCAAGCTGAAACCTGCTACCAAAAATTCAAGCTTCCCTCCTTCTTTTCCTTATATTTTTTTTTGGCCTTTTCAACTACTCATTGTTGTTGTTGCTTGTTCCCGTTTTTAGTGCCTTAATTTCGCTGTTTTTTTTCTCTCTGTATGTGTGGGTGTTTTTGAGGTTTTTTTGTGTGCCCCTCTCTTGTTTTTAAACATTTTTGACTTTTGGCCCCGCGACAACGACGACTGTTGCTCGTCGCTCGTTTGTTTGTTGTTTTAATTAATTTGTAAATTTACTCGACCAGATTAAAGCAAAAGAGAAGCAAATTAGCCAGGGAGGACGACGACGACTCCAATGCCAACAATGCAGATGGACGGCAGATGTCAGCAGTGCCGCAGGAGGTGTGCAGCAAGTGAAATATGGAGGATATAACAACAAAAACTTTCCACAAGGAAATTTGTTTAAATTTTTTTTTAAACCACTTAGGATTCAGCTAAGTTGTTGAGGAGGTTTTAAGTGGAGGGGTAATTAGAAAATCTGTTGGAAATTAAATAGTTGGAATAAGAAGAAAATTAAAGGAAAAATTACACAAGGGAAAAGTTCGTTTAAAATAACAAGAAAATAAGGTTCTCTTAAAGGAAACAATGAAACTTCACACAGAAATAGAAATAAAAAATATTTAATAAAAAAAAAACTGATAATAAATAGTTTGAAAACATAAAAAACAAGAAAGAAAGCTAACTTTGGCAAGCCAAAGTTTGTATACCCTTGCAGGTAAAATATATCATAACTAAGCCAAAAATGCATTAATTTCGATTCGGAAAGCAGTTTTGTGTTAGTTTTTATTAATTTAAAAAAACTGCATACCAAATTTAAAATTTTAAGAAATCAAAATTTGTGGCCATTTTTGCTAATTTTAATGATGTAACCCCTTATCAAATTTCGCAAAAATGGCCAAAAAATCGATTTCTTTCGGGCATGTCTAGAAAGATTCCCCTGTTGATGCTGATCAAGAATATATATGGTTTATGGGGTCGGAAATGATTCCTTGACTTAGAAAAATATTATTTTGTATTATAATATCTGATTTTTTATATTAAAAAACTTATTGATTTTTTTTTAAATTAAAAATATCATAACTCGGGCAAAAGAGCATTAATTTTAAATCGGAAAACTGTTCTGTGCAAGATTTTCTACAGTTAATAAATCTGCATACTTCATTTAAAAATTTTGAAAATTCAATATTTTATCAAAATCAAAAATTTTAATGATGTAACCCCTTATAAAATTTTTCAAAAATGGCCAAAAAATCGATTTCTTCCTGACATGTCTAGAAAGTTTCCCCTGTTGATGCTGATCAAGAATATATATACTTTATAAGGTCGGAAAGGTCTCCTTCACTGCGTTGCAAACTTCTGACTGAAATTATAATACCCTGCAAGGGTATAAATATTAGATAATCTAATAAATATTTCCTTTGTTGCCTAATTCAACACCATTGAATTTTTAAAGAATTTTAATAATGGAATATAAATATCGCACAATATAAATAACAAACAAATACATCACAAAGCCATAAATCATAACACCAAAATACACACTAATTGCCTTCTCTAATTTATTACGAACAAAAAAAAAACAGATATCTAAAATCTATTTATTAAATTAAATGGTCTTGGCTGCAAATAAAAGACTCAAATGTTTTGAAAAATCAATTAGAGGCAGACACAGAGACACAGCAACACACCTGCAACAGCGGCTGAATCAACATTTGCAATTAAAACCCCATTCTTTCGAGTGTCTCACATTTGTTTACCTCACATATTTATGTCTATGTTGTGAAGAAATCTATCAAATTTCCGAGGGGAATGCCCCTGGAATATGCAACAATCAAGCAATGTCTCCAAGTTTGCCAATAATAATAATTCAATTTCCTTCGAGAGAGGAGGGAGCAGTCATCACAATTCTGTGAAAAACTCTGCGGAAAACTCATACGCCTCGAGGCCATTTAATTGCTTCACTCCCTAAAAGTTAGAACAAAAGGCTGGCGCTAAAATTATAAGCAACAATTTATTTGCAGCTGTGCGTTGCTTAAAGTATTTAACTTGAGTTTAACCGCAATGGCAAAACTTTGTCTTTGTCTGGGAGTCCTTTTTCCCGGCTATATTGACACATTTGTTTGGTGGAAAAAAACTGGAAAATAAAAGGAGGGAAAGCTACTGAAATTCCTTGCGGTGTCTGCGAGCTAAAAACGAATTTCAAATTAAATAAACAACAGCAACAACAAACAAACACACAAAAAAAAACTCCCAAATGTGCAATTAAAAAATTTTACAGTCATAACTTTTTATTATGGAGCATAATTCAGACTTTTTATGCACACCCAGCGAGGGAGGCCAGAAGAGGGAGTAGGAGATGGAGCTTTGACTGGGGGCAAGTAGCTCCATTGCGCGTGTTTAATTTCGTTTCTCGTCCTGTTTTTCCAATAAATTTTCTTCCCTTTTGCACGCAATTTCCTCACTTGAACTTTTTTCCCCACTTTCCCAGCGTCTTCTCTTTTTTTTTCGGTTTTATATAATTGCATTAAAGGCAACCGACACGACTTTTATGTGTCTGTTTTTCATCATTTTTGGGTGGCCAAAAAATGCTCTAAACCCTGTGTTTACTTCTCACATTTCGGTAGTTTTGTTTCAG